TCAAAGGGAGCCCCATGTAGAGCGTGTTACAGTGGTCTAATCTTGAGATTACAAGCGCATGTACTAAGGTAGTGAGCGCCCCCGTGTCGAGGTAGGGTCGCATCCGGGCAATCCGTCAGAGGTGGAAAAAGGCGGTGCAGATTACCGACGCCACCTGCATTTCCATGGTGAGCGTTGGGTCCAGGTGTACCCCCAGGCTGCGAACCCCACTCTTCGTGGCTAGGGCCACCCCCCCAAACATGAGGGAGTCGCCCAAGCCACCGTCCACAGGGCCACCCACCCTCAGAACTTCTGTCTTGTCCGGATTCAGCCTCAGCCCATTTTCCTGCATCCATTGCAGTACAGCCTCCAGGCAGCGCCCGAGGGACATCATGGCATCACCTGCAGTTGGTGAAAAGGAGATGTAGAGCTGGGTGTCATAAGCATATTGATGACACGATGCTCCACAGCCCCTGATGACCCCGCCCAGCGGTCTCATATAGATGTTGAACAGCACTGGGGAGATATAATCGACCCTTGTGGAACCCTACATTTGAGACTCCACGGGGCTGAAACACTCTCCCCAAGCTGCACTCTCTGGGGGCGGTCCTCCAAGAAGGAATGGAGCTAGGCAAGTGGCGAGCCACCGATTCCCAACTAGGAGAGCCTCCCCAGGAGTATACCATGGTCGACGGTATCAAAGGCTGCCAAGATGTCAAGGAGGACCAACAGAGATATTTTAGCCCTCTTGGCCTCCCTCAACAGGTCATCATACAGGGCGACCAATGTCGTCTCTGTACCATGGCACAGCCTGAAGCCCGACTGAAACGGATCCAGGGCATCTGTTTCCTCCAAGTGAGCCTGAAGGTGGTCGGCGACCACCCTCTCAACCATTCTGTTCATGAAAGAAACATTGGCGACGGGCCTATAACTGCCAATTTCATCCGCCGCCAAACTAGGTTTCTTTCTTATGGGCCTAATGAGTGTCTCCTTGAGAGCAGAGGGAAACCTGCCCTCAACAAAAGACCCATTTATTATTGCTGTGGCCCATTCTGTTGTTTTCGGCCTGGCTGCTTTGATTAGCCAGGCTGGGCAAGGGTCCAGGGAGGAGGTGGTGGCCTGACAGCGATCAAGCACCTTGTCCACAGTGTCTGGCGTCACTGGCTGAAAGGAGTCAAAGGTTACCGGACAAGACGGAGCACTGGACATCTCAGCTCGACTCACTGTATTCAAAAAAGGAGAGAGCTCCCAGCAGATGGCCTCCATTTTGATTTTAAAAAGGCTGCAAACTGGTTAGGTGAAAAACTAGGGGGAGGCCTATCACCCAGACCAGTTCGGGATAGGTCACACACTATACAGAATAACTCCGCCTGCTGATTTGAAGCTTCGCTTATCCGGTTGGTGAAGAATGATCTACAAATAGCCTTTACCTCATTCAGGTAAAGGTTAGTTGTGACCCTAACAGCTATCCAATTATATTCCGTTGGGTTCTTCCTCCACCTACGCTCTAGCCTTCTCCTTGTTCGTTTCATCGCTTGAAGTTCCTGGTTAAACCAGGGTGCTGGTGGACCAGCTATCAACCAGAGCGTCGACAGGAGCACTAGCCAGGTCCAGCGTAACCCCTCTCATGACATCCTGGAATCCAACAGGATCCAGTAGCCTTTGAGGGCGGACCATAGAAATAGGTCCCTGCTTTCTGCAAGGGGGGAGAGCCACTGTGAGGTTACATTTTATCAGGTAGTGATCTGACCATGACAAGGGGACTGACAAAATGTCAGTCACCATCAGACCACACTCACTCCAACTGGTGGAAAACAGGTCCAATGTGTGACCACCCACGTGGGTGGGGCCGTAGACATGTTGGGACATGTTCAAGGAAGCCATGGTTTCCAAGAACTCAAGAGCTGGCCCAGTAGCCTCTGCCCCTGCGTGCACGTTGAAATCACCCAAGAACAGAAGCCTTGGGGATCCCAACAGTGCCGGGGAGACAAAGTCGGCCAGCTTCGGAAGGGAAGTGGCTGGGTCGCAGAGAGCGCGGTAACCCAGCAAAATCCTAATATCATCCCTGGCCCCAATCGACACGTGGAGTGCCTCTACTCCCGGCTTTACCACTGAGGAGCGCCTAGTAACCTCTAAGCTGGATTTATAAACAATGGCTACTCCCCCCCGCCCCTCCAGTCTACCCTGGTGCTGGATGGCATAACCAGGCGGACAGATGAGAGCCAGGGGAGGGCCCCCCTCCCCGCTAATCCACATCTCGGTTATGCATGCCAGGTCTGCTTCCTTCTCCAGAATAAGATCGTGAATTACCTGGGACTTATTGGACACAGACCTGGCATTCAACAGCAGCAGGGATAGAGTGGAGGGCTGGCTGGGCTGGCTATCTCGATACTGAGGGCTGGACACAGTTTCAGAACAGTGAACAGCCGTCAAACATCTGTTCATCGTTCTTCTGGCATGAGTACGGACTGTGCCAATGCCATATCTCCCTCTACCCGTGATCACCGGGGTATTCAGGGGCCCCTCGCTGGGCAGACTCTAGGACTCACCACTGGCTTCATCGCACTTTTCTGCAGTCCTAACTCATAGTGAAAGCCCACACAAATAGCCTCTTCAGCCTCACTGCCCTCCATGTACTGTATACAAGGCTGATGGAATTAATGGCAAGGAGAACAAAGTGCTCATAAGTATTCACAACAATTTAAAGTGACTACTTCCAGGTCTTGCATAGACCTTCTTTTTCCTCCCACTGCTGTTCACAGAAAACAATGGAGAAATCTGTGATTTTTCCACAGTGGTGACCGTGAAGCACTGTGCTCCTTTCAAGGAAAGATGCAACAGGCAAAATAGTTAATCGTTGGTGAGCGTGGTCCAAAAATTTCCTCACAAGATAGTGAGTTGGGAACTCAGCACGCCCATGCAAGTACCATGCCACCATTTGCACATGTGCATGAGCATATGCCCAGACAAGCGCCACACTGCTGTTTGCGCATGCGCACGAGCGTGGGGGTGCCCCGCCTTCCTCAGCCGGTCTGCGGAGTGAAAAAGGTTGGGGACCACTGTATTAGAGAATGGGAGAACTTTGGATCCAAAGCTTCTCTAACAAATTCCTCTTCCTCTCAGCCATTGTGAGAAAACCTACAGCAGATATGGACTAGTGGAGGAGGTTCTTGATGATACAATAAGCATTCTTCAGTGTCCAGGCCTCCTTTCCCACTGACAGATATCGTTCTCCAACTATGAATAGGGAGGCTTGCAAAGCCCTGTGGCCCCTTGGCAGGATCCCAAGAACACAGACTTGTACTCTTAGCTACTCCCATTCTAACAAATGCCAACACTGATCCAATTTCTTTCTCTTTTATACCACAAAAAACAATGATCCAACTGAAAGAATATGGGGATGGTCTGCATCAACTGCAATATGTACAAAATATGTTATCACCTGTCATTCAATGGTTCAAAGGATAGCTATAAAAATGTTGTAACTGATTCTCCCCATATATTATAACTAGTACACAATTAATTATCTTTTGTACACTTTTTAAATTGCATTTTGTATGTTTTAGCCATATAATATGTTTTTTGAGCTGGTCAACTGACCCTAATAAATAAATTCATTCAGGTTATCACCTAGTTAATGATAAACAAATTGATTAGCTACACTGAAACATCCATTCTCTTCTTGTTCACTTGTATGTAGGAGACAAATTGCTGGCACAAAACAACAACAAACAAAAACAAAAACCAACCCACCCACCCCAAAAAAAACCCAGAAATTTGCTACATCATTAGTTTGGAAGTGCTTTTAGTCTATCAAAAGTGCCCTCTTTCAGTTAAATATGGCATTCCCAATTCAGACTCTTTACTATGAATCAGACTTCTAGCTACACTAAACCTGTAAGGATTATAACAGGATGGAACAATAGAATGACAAGCCAGAAAACCACAGGATTCCTGGCTTGTTATCTCTGAGCTGCCTGTTGCCAGATAATTCCAATTTACTGCACCAGTGGCCAAACAATGGTCCACTGTTTACTTGTCATTTGAATGCAGGTGCTTTCTGTTCTCTGGTTTGTTTCTCTTCCAATATTCCAGGGAAACAAACCAAAAGCAAAGCCTGGCTACCTTCTCTGGCTTGTTGGCAGACAAACCAATCAGAGGAGAAAGCATTTGATCCATGAAACTGAAGTTTCATAGTTTCTTTGGCTGCAAATGGTAGCAATCAGGCAACATGTGCTAGCATACTGGTTATAACTGATAAGCCAGGATTTTCACAGTTTTCTGTTTCCATGCCATCTAGTAGAGACATTACCAGAATAAGTTATATGAGGAATATTAATGTTCAGATATTTACATAATTCAGTTCAGTATATTTTGCCTTCTTGAGTAGGATCAGCTTCTGGGAGTAGCAATGAAAACTCTTGACTCCATGTTCCAGAACAGAACACAGCACCAGACAGCAACTGTGAAAATCAGAGTGCTGATTCTGTATTGTACCATGGCATAAAGTAATATATACAGATGTTTTGGTTGTATTTCAAGTGTTCAGAGTTCTTCTGATATTGAGGAGTGTGAAATCAGGAAACCTCACAGCTACCCTGTAAAGTAGTTCAGTGTTACTCTAGAGTGGAGACTAGAGGAGAAGAAAAGAGATGGGAGTACTGTTGAATCCTTGCCTGTCTGGGAGAAGAAATTATATTAATCAGGAGACAGTTCTGGGCTTGTAATATTGCTGAGTAAACCGCATTACAAAAGCTATTTGGCATAAGTGAGCTGCAGGCAACATGCTGCTGCCACCACCTTTGAAACAAACAAAAAAACTTTCCTGTGGAAAAGTAACAGAAAATGACTCCTCTGACTTCTACAGATTACAGCAATTACAGAGACTTTTACACTTACCAAGTTTTGGTCACAGAGGCCACGGAATTGCTGGAACTTCTGTGACATTAGTAACTGTGCACTGCCCACTGCACTGAGGACTTTGCCTAAGACTGAAGAAGACAAATATTTTTAAGAAGCCAAGTCAAGGCCAATTTAAAAAAAATATCCAAGAAGATTCAAGATGAACATTGCTTCTTCCTGTCTTTCACGCAGACTGACCTTGCCTTCCTTCAGAAGCATTTTTCACTTCCAGGCATTAATGACAAATCCCTGAAAATGAAAATGACTCCCAACCCCTTCCATCAACGCATGTTTTGTCAACCTTTGTTCTACTTCCAACGTCAATGCCCTGTTCACCATCAGGAACGGCAGACGGAGGCAGTGCCACAAAATTCTTCGTTTACTGAGTGTTGGTGAAATTTGGCGGTGAGGCCGATAAGGTTTGAACATTTGCTGCTCAGTTTGCTCCCACTTGGGATGTGACTTTCAAAATTCTAGGGCTTTCAGTGTAAAATTCCCAAGCAGACCTCTGAGACTGGGAGAGGAAAAAAAAACTAGAAGGCAAAAGAGATGTCTTTTTAGTGCCATTGTCTGCTTCGCTCCATGTGCTTTGGCTACAAAGAAGGAGGAAATGGCCTTTCATTTCTCCTGCTTCCTGGGGGCTGCATTGCTCTATGTGAAGGGCTGTGCAGTGAGAGGCTCCCCCTGTGGTTTAATGGCAGCAAAACCGCCTGTCCTATGAAGCACTGGGGTGACTCCCAGGAAGGGGTATTCCCTTCCCAGCTAACAGACATGGAATAAAGGAGACAACAGTGGAAGAAAGGAATCTTTTTTTTCCCCTTCTGGTTTCTCTCCTTTCAGTCCCAGAAGTCAGCCTGAGAGATTCTAGGTAACATCTGGGACTGGAAGTCTTAAAATTCTGAAAGTCCCATCCCTAGTCTCTACTACAGATACGTGACCACTTCTTTTCTATTCTCTGTTTCACCTCTGCTAACTCATAATTAAGTTGTTCCAAGTAACAGTGGTCTTCTTAAAGGCCACAAACAGTTGCTAAAAATGTGTGCAGCTTTAGAAATTATGTCTTTTAAAAAACCTGATGTCCTCAGGTTATCACATTTTAAACATTTCTTATATGGGTTGCATTTACATTTAATTTTTTTTCTGAATGTGGGAGCGCAAGTGATGTAGGTGAATGCAATCCCAAAGGAGGATGAACATATATCTAATTCTGTCCAAAGGTTATCATGGAAAACAATGGAAAAGAGCACTTATTGGAGGAACAGCAGATTCGTGTTTTTTGGACTACAACTCTCAGAACCCAGGAACATTGTTTAGAAAATTCTCGAAGTTTTTGTCCAAAAACTCAAGTCTGTACACCTCTACTGAGAAAAGGGCTGTTCCATTATGGAGGCCATAGTTTGTTGTGACTGACTCTTAAAGTCCTAAAAGAAAAAAAAAGAGAGGCACAATAGTTTCTGCTCCCTTTTTTCTGCAAAATTCTCAGAGAACAGAACAATCAACTTTTTGGCCCAGCCTACATAGCTGGAAAAGTAGGGAGAGGTCTGGCCATTTTGGATTTTTAAAATTTCCCTGGTCACCAAGACCACCTTGTCAATACTAACCTTCTTCAGAGAGATTATTCTCTTTGGTCTCTTGGTCCATCTGACGACACCACCCTTCTAACCTTTCTGTCTCTGCCTGCAGCAACTTCTGAAACCAATACCCGTCCCTTCGGCAAGCTCCAGGCTGCGCTGGTTCTGAGGGAGTGTTGTTGGTCGTTTCGAGCCAGGGGTCAGGAGGAGGAAGAGAGGAAGGTTCTAGAGCTGGGTCGTTGCTATCTCCATAGGAGAGATTTCTGTTGCTCTGGGAGGGCGTGGCTGGTTGCCTCATACTGGCATCAAGGCTGTTGGAGGTGTTGCATGGGGGACAATCAGCAAGGCTTCTCTCAGATGATTTACAAGTAGAATTATTTGGTTCTTGAGAGTCAGAATCTGTATCCTGCTTCGTGGACATGCTGAGAGAGTGGCTGTTGCTACAAAGAGAAGAGGGGCAGGAAAATATGAGAAGAGGCAGCCCCTGCAGAAGGCTGGATGCCTTACATGGCACACAAAGACAACACTATGGAATTTGTTTATGGCATTTGTAGCTGAACCACACTTCCTTGCCCAACCCTCTCTGCACACAGATACACACACACCACACATGCAGACAGACAAAATTATAAGGTTGCCTGCTTACTGCAATCGGCCATCCAAACAAAGGCTGGCACACATCTATAATTACATTTCCACTTCTTCTTCTTTTTTTAAATTTCAGGCTTCCAATGATTTGCTTATATTACTGAGTCACCTTTATTTGGTTAAGAGCGCATGCGGTTGAGAAACCCGCCACGGCTCAGCAGCGCAAGAGGAAAAAAGAAACAGGGAACTCAAATCTAAAAGGCTAAACCGCCGCAAAACGGGGTTTACAAAAAGAAAAAAAGAGCCTGCGTCTTCCACTTACCGCCACTCGTCCTCTACCTGTACCCCGATGGACTGGAATTTGGTGGCTGATGGAGGGGGTTCCTCTTTTGCCACTGGCTGAAGGCAGTCAACCTTATTAACAAAAAGATACAAACAAAAAAAACAAAAACACAAAAACTTGCTGCTAGAATTCACATTAGAAGGAAAGAGGCATGCATGCACACAAACACACAGAATGATCATGCAGACAGCATACACCAAGAGGCAGCAAATCCTCTCTATTTTTTTAGACCATGAAGAGTTTGAAATGGGATCAGTAAGAGATTCCAAGACCAACATTTACTCAAAATGGCCACAAGCTCGGTATGGGTTCAGGTGGAGAAGAAGACAAGACAGAAAAAACAAAAAACAAAGATGATGACATAGTAATGAAGACTACTTTGTTCTATTAAAATAACAGTTGCCATTCTCATTAGGTTCTATTTGTGAAGGTAATGAGAACTTATATATCTGTGACTTAAAATTTTGAAAATAAAAATATTTCTCTTTAACATGCAACATTCCTATACTTTGTTATGTAAAATGACTCTAGAGGGAACTTCAGAAGCTTCAAAGCAGGTTTAAACACAACACAACTTTGAGTATGGGTAAACATACTGCAACTTTAGTAATATGGTCACACTCTTTATTACTCATATTAGGTCAGCCCTGCCATTAAGCAAACAGGCACACACAGATATTTAAGTGGCTGAACTACATACATCTGCTACAGGGGCAGAGTCACTAACATTTGACTTTTTTTCCTTCAAAAAAATATTTTCACTGGATATTTTACAATAATATTTCCCTTTTGCTGTTATCCATCCATCTAACAAATCTTTGACAACTGATCAGGCAAGTAACAATCCAGAATCAATAAACTTTTCTCTCTCCTCTTGTTATGTGCCATCAAGTCAGAAATGACTGATAGCAACCTTAATAGGGTTTTCAGGGTAAGTGAGATATTTAAGGATTTTCGCAGCTCCAGTGAGCTTCCATGATTCAAGTCCAAGCATCCTGAGTTTTATTCCATCACTCTACCTACTACACCACACTGGGTAGCTTCTCTTTGATATCAGGCAGAGTAAGGGTCAAGGCAGCATGGAAGATTAATCTGTCTCTACTACAGAGTACATAGGCCCACTTAGAACATTTTGGTAAAGGTGCAGCAATTGTATCCAGAGCACCCACAAGCAAAAGGTGCAAATAACAATAGACAAGATGGAGTAGCACAGACTGACATGACAACGTATAAGGGCAGAGAGGGAGAAACAGAGAGGCAGAGCAAGGGGAAGAATGTGAAAGAGCACTTCTCAATTTTCAAATATGCCCCCAGCTTATTAAACCACATGGAAGAATATTTTTGAGGGGGAAGGGGGAGACACACACCATAAACCCAGACATTTTCTTTTGGTGCTCTGCTTGGCCAAGGAACATGTTATAATCTAAATGTTAACAGATAAGGAACAGGTTGGACAGAAAAGATGAGGTAGCATAACCTCAAATCAAATATGGTAAATACTTCTCTCTTCTGGAAGGGGAAATGACCAGGAGAGTAGTAACACAGAGGTTGATGTGACTTAAGTATGAAGAAGAGAAAGTCCCCAAAATTGGTGGGGTGTTTTGCAGGGTGCAAAACAGAGCTGGCTCTGTGACCAGTTCCTACTCAATCCTCCCCCCGTGCTCTTTAACAAAAGAGCTCTTCAAATATTTTTTGGAAGTTAAACAAATTCATCGCAAAATAAAGAGGGGTCAGAGGCATGCTCTCTCATGTCAGAGATATTACTCAATTGGTGCTCATGATATCTGCATGTCACATTTCCCACAGAAATGTATTATTCTTGCACAATACAAGTACTTAGTTGCTAGAGCTATACACATTATAATTAATAATTATAATCTTGTTGCTGAAGCTAAACAAGTTTAATAATTTGTTTCACGATCCTTTTTTTAAAGTATGTAATTGGTAATCTGCTCTTTTTGTGGCAGAAAAATGGTGTAAAATAAAAAAATCATTTATCATATAAATAAATGTGAAAACTTCAGATTAGACACTTGGATTTTTTAAAGTAAGTGAACTACTGTACCACTTGATCGCCTGCAAAGACTCTTATATACAGAAACTCTGGAATGCTTCAAGTAGCAAACAACAAATATTTCTGACAGTTTTAGAACTGCTCTCTCAGCGCAGTAGTATCCTCTGGATGTGCAGCCATGCTGGTGAGGAATAATGTGAATTTTAATTCAGTATACTGTATCTGAAAGACCTCAAGATGGGAAAAGCTGTTCTAAAATGACAACTAACATGGCCAAAATCTTGTAGTTTAGTGTAGTAAATCACACTTCAGTAGACCCACTGGATCAACGGAGATTTGGTGAGTCAAGTCCTTGGTGAATTCCATTGACGCAAATGGGCCTAATCTAACTGCAACTTACATGGTTAAACACAAATTTATGTTTATTCATCAGAAGAAACTATTGCAAAACACCAAGTAAGGTAGCAATTTTAACTGTAGTAGATGTTTGATAGCAGATGGGAAAACATTACTATCAATGTTCTAAAGCTGGCCTTATTTTCTGAACCATGTATAGCAGATGATGCACTGTTGACAATATCCCCACTGTTATTATTAGTGTCTGCAAATCTAGAGGGAGTCCAGGGACCAGAAGATGATTATTTTTATAAACTTCCTATTCAAAAGCATTGAACATATTTTGGATGCTAGTTTTGAGATCCATGATGAACAAAATTTGAACTGACATGTACAGAAGTGTTTTTTTTTCAATTCTGTAATCAGAGTACACATGTGCAAAAGAAAACCCCAAAGTAAGTAAAATGCTATTCTCTGCATTTTCCCACAAATGAATTTGGCACATGAATGTGTGATGTGTATAGTAGATGGCATGAGAAGCAGTCTAACTGGAATTTTCTTCTTGAGAAAACCCATCTAGCTTTGGAACCAAACTTGTTAGGTTTCACAATGTATTATGACATAGCTGAATCCTATGCCTTTATAGTGTTCTGCAGAGCTGAATATTAGTTTTGATTCTATACACAGCACATAATTGTTTCAGGGGCTACTTTTGCAGAGAAAAAAGTACTGCAAGTGAAAAGAATGAACACTATACTGTTTTTAAAAAAATAATATCTGCCCTTTAAATATTTCTCCCCTGCTGCTTCAAGATGTATCCTTTCTTTCAAACTTGTTTAGTATGTTAAACAAGAGCAACAAATGGTAACATTTTGAGCAACTATACAAAAGGATGAATTATTTTTAAATGATTTGGAAGTTGCACCCCACCCCAAGTGCTACATGGTACATTTGGACACTTGAAGGCACAGGTGGCTTGCAGGTGGCACTTTGCTCACAACTGATGTAGGGAGAAGGAAGCCCTGGAAAGGTAAGTTAGGGATAAGTCATCCATACCAATAAGTCATTTGGGGAATACTGGGGATTTGTGCTGCCTGTTCCACTGCACTGTTTGCGCTGAAGGTTGCTAAGCCCTGTTGTAGAGCAGAGACTGAAAATGTGCACTAATTTGGATACTGCTAAATAAAGCCCACCATCCCTCACCACTGACTATTCTTCACAGGCCTAATGAGAGCTTCAGTTGGACCACATTTAGAGACAACACCCCTTGTCTAGAGACACACAACACTTCTGTTCATGGAGCACCTTAAGAGATGAAAGCTTTTGTTCTTCCTATGTATGTTTCATAGGGCAGCATATGCACAATCTCCATATATGTGAAAGAAGCTGGAAAGAATCTGTGGATATGGAAGGTCCTCCTATATAAGGTAACAGGGTCTACTGACAGTGCTATGAAATCCTTGCCTAATGAACAGTTTGATACATACTCTTTTTTTTCCTCCCTTCAAGTCTTCCTGGGGTTTTATAAAATCAAACTTCTCCAGAGGCACACACTTGGCATAGATGCCAGAGCAGTTAAACATATACACACATATAAAAATGGTGACATTAAGAACATATTTGAGAGAAAATGAGAATAAGAAATCCCATACTTGTATTCCTATAGACGACAGCTTCCGTTTGGGGATATTCTCCACCTTTGGCTCTTCGTTTGTCAGTGTCCCTTTGTCAGTCTTCAGGGTTGCATTTTTCAGGGGTAGTTCAGGAGGCTCTCTGGGTGGAGTCACAACTGTTCCTCTTGTCACACTGGGTGGCCTGTTGCTTTCTAAGCTATCGGATGAATTGCTCAGTCCTGACTGGCTGTTGACCTCACTCTTATGGTCCTGGTTGTCTAGGTAGTTGTCTTGCGCTGATTCGGTGCTGCTCTGCACTGTGACAGAGATGAAGGGCTTGGAGGTGGTCCGAGGTGGGACTGGTGGTGGTGTCTTTTTATATCCCACTAGGCATGCCGAACCTGCGATAGTGGAGGTGAGGAAGCACAAAAGGAAAGAGGGGAAGCAGAAGGTGGAAGAAAAAGCAGCAGAGATCCAGTGAATAGAGAGGAAAAAAGCAACAACAATGTTCATAGAAGTCTAATAAGCACAAAGGCAGAAGATATCAATCTAGCCAGCAGTATGCACAGAGCAGCCCAAACCAAAGCAAACTAGTAGCCATCACCATCCTGCTATGAAATTGAGGAGGAATGTCATAACACAGACTGGAAAACCCAAGACAAAGTGAGGAAGATCCCTCCAGAAAGCTGGTATAAGCAAACTTTGCTTTCTAAAGGTCTACAATGGGTATGTGGAAGTGAGCAGTCTTGGTTTATATTTAAGGTCTGAAGAAAGCCTTCTCTTGGTGTTTGAACCCATCAGTCGACAAATTTCAGTTTCTTCACTAAGCTGGCACTTGAACCTAGAAAAGGAAAATGCCATAGAGGGATTGTATCAGGCAAAGCCATGTTTATTTATTTAGTTCTCACAGTTCATAATCTCTCTATGGATTAAAGCACCTAGTGGCTACACACACTCTAGACCCAGAAACGTGAGTCTGTCTACATCTTTCTAAAACTGGAACTGAAAGTAACCATATATACCAAAGGGGTAGCCACCCCAGTCTGTTGCAGTAAATGTAATAAAATATTTCACGGCAGTATAAAGACAAAACTACCTTATTAGTACACAGACTTTGGTCCACATAGTCCACTTATTCAGATCAACATAATAAGTATTCTTATATATCGCTAAAGAAAAATACTGTATGATAAAGATCTCGATCTTAAAAAGAGATAGATGCTACAAAGTTAGAGATATCACAGAAGACTTGTGTGCACTGTGGCAAGAGTTTATAGGACAGATGAGTGGCAGAAACCAATTTCTTCCAAATAAATTACAGAATCTTTAATGCATACATTCAAAGTTGACATGATGCCAAAATCTTCTTGTGTAAGAGGAATAGAGTAACCTACAGCAGCCTGTTAATTACTGTTAAAGAATCCCCAATTTGATTCCTTGTAGCTTATATGTAATTCCATCACACATGAATCAGATGGTTTTGCATATAACCCAAAATCAGTGTAGAGACCTCTTAATTAGCAGCAATCTGCTTGTGTAGGTTACATATTTTTTTCTTACATTGAGGTAACTTACATGGAAGGATTTGGACTAATAACAGATATCTTCACTCTTATCTAGAGATTATAATAGACTTTCTATATATTGCAAATCATTTTGTATAGAGAAGTGCTATAGATCACTGGTTCTTAACCTTGGGTTACTCAGGAGTTTTGGATTGCAACTCCCAGAAGCCTTCACCACCAGCTGTCCTGACTGGGGTTTCTGGGAGTTGCAGTTCAAAAGCATCCGAGTAACAAAGGTTAAGAACCACTGCTATAGATCACAGTTCATTTTGCTTCCTTAAGCTGCATCTTCAAACAGACGGTGCCAAATTCATTGGTTGTATCTGGATGGCAGTAAGGCACTATGTACGAATACAATAACAGGCCAGGACAAACCTCAGTCTCAAGGGCTCCCTTCCTTCTCTGCAGCTCTGATGAGGAAAACAAACTTCCAAATCTAGATTGTTGTTTGACACTTTTGCCTATAGGAAATCATACTGTCCCCATATTCTATCTTAATGGTAGCTTGTTGTCCACAGTACAGGTTACACATCAGGACAATCAAGTGCCAAGGCAAACCCATTTCTTTTAGAACAACCCACAGTTTCACATGATCCACACTGTCAAAGACTTTGCTATAGTTTATAAAGCATACAGTGACCAAAATAATTGCACTGCAAAGCAGATCAGATGGCGGTGGGGTGGGTGACAAATAGCCTGGGAGGCTTTTTAAACCCTAGATGAGAGTCTAAAGGAAACCAATACTAATTAGGAAGCTAGCAATTATTTTCTCCCTACCCCACAGAGGGAATGGCCATGTATCAATTGAATAATCTGTTTTAGGCTCCCAGAGGAGATAAGATCATAAGCCTGTCACAGAACAGAAAAGTCATGTTAACAAATATTTCAGGAAAACATTCATATTCAGAAGGATTTTATCTCCTCTTACGTACAGGTACTGTACCCTCCTTCCCTCAACAAAACATGTATAAAGAAAAGCCTCAAAAGTGACCAGTATCTCTCCCTGCCCCTCCAATGTGAGTATCCTGCAGCTAAATATTTTATTCTTCAGCTTTCAATACTTTGGACAAGCACTGGCCCCACCCTCTCTTTCATTTAAGCTCCAGATTAGGGAACCAGCCAGTTCGCAGAGTCTCTAAACCACCCTTGGCGCTGCATCCTCTATTCACAGGATGTTTGTGTATCTCTCTCATTTATGTCTTTTTCACACAAAACCATCTAAGAGACAATGAAAGAGGATACTGTTTTGCATAACACACAAATCAGCACTTTCAAATGAAAAATATCTATATAATTTTTTAAAAATAGTCTACATTATCAACATAGGGACGAGGTGGTGCTGCAGGCTAAACCGCAGAAGCCTGGGCTGCAGGGTCAGAAGACCAGCAGTCATAAGATCGAATCCACGTGACGGAGTGAGCTCCCGTCACTTGTCCCAGCTCCCGCCAACCTAGCAGTTAAAGCATGCAAATGCGAGTAGATAAATAGGGCCCACCTAGGTGGGAAGGTAACAGCGTTCCGTGTCTAAGTCGCACTGGCCATGTGACCACGGAAGATTGTCTCCGGACAAACGCTGGCTCTATGGCTTGGAAACGGGGATGAGCCCCGCCCCCTAGAGTCGAACACGACTGGACAAAAATCGTCAAGCGGAACCTTTACCTTTACCTTTTTACATTATCAACAGTGGCTGGACATGATGATCCACAAGGTCCCTTACAGCTCTGCAGTAAGAGGATGATGATGATGATATCCCAATACTGTACATTGGAAAGTATATGACTAAACAAGTTGTGTGCTTGCTTAATCTGCTGCTGAAGCGCTGTTGACGGGCAATTTCAAATCCATGTTCTGTTTTCTTACAATATGGTTCCTTATTTTATATAGGATGCAAACTAGTCAGTCCCTCAGACAGAGGATTACCTTCTGTAAAGTAGGTCATAAAGCCACCCTATCTTCTTAAGTGCAAACATATTTTTTAAAATGATCACAATATAGTTCCTTCTGAGGATTGTAATTCTCAACAACTGGGCAGTCACCTCTTGTGAAGAGGGTGCTCACATTTTGTGTGAATGTTATTTCCACAAATGCGAATGGAAACTTACATTTCTTTATTTCTTCTGAAAGCAAATGTAACTAATAAACAATGATAATTTTAACATGAGGACACATTAGTGCTATCAACCAAGCTTCTTAATAAAAAGCTTGTTGTGGTGTGTGAAAATGCTGAGATCTATCCACAAAGGACAAGCACGCAGTGGGGAAATGGACAATGTCTCATTGCCCCCCCCCAAACTCATGCTGTCATTCCTGTGTCCACTGGCACCAGCCCTTTAACTCACCACATCTGATTTTTTTTTTAAATGGAGGTGGTGGTATTGGTATTTGTGCAACAATCTTAATAAGATCAAGGGCACCAACTGTGTGAAGTACACAGAGCTAGACCACTTTAAAAAGGTGCTTGCATTTTAAACCATAAGGTGGCCATGTGACCTACTTTATGCAATGTCCTATGTCTGGAGGACTGACCAGTCTACATGTCATTTAAGATTAAGACCATAGGAAGGGAGAACAAGGGCTTTAAATTGCCCACCGACAGCACTTTAACAGCAGAATACTTGGCAGAGACTGGAATGGCCAACTGTATATGGTTGGCAAGGATTAGGGTGAGTGGCCTCCCTTCTTCATTCATACATATAATTATTGTGGGAATGGCACAAAACCTCATTTTTTGGGGGGGTATTTGGTCAACATTAAAAATTCCAAAGTAAGATTAACATGTATGCGGAGCAGCCAAGATTGTGTGTAAACAAATCTGAGTGATGACAGGTATGAATGTATGAATCTGCCTTATAGCAATCGTGGCCCAAGACTAGCTACACTGACTGCAGTGGCTGGTATCGTTTCAGGCAAAGGTCATGCCCAGCCCTGCTGCCGCAACATCTTCACCCAGAAAAGCTGAAACTGATGTTGGGACCTCATCCACAAGCTACACACTGTCACCCGTAAAACACAGAATGTACTTTCTAACTGCCAAGAATGAGGAAAAACAGTATAAGAACAGAGAGTTTACACTAGTCTCACAAATTTACTTTAGCAGCAGTTGATGTTATGCTAACAGAAACTATGCCACTCTGTTTTTACTTTGTGACTCCTGAAGGTTTGGAGAAATATGCTACTTGAGTTATTTCAATCAAGTAACGTTATTTTCCTGTAAGCTCTCCAGTTTCATCCTTTTAATTCTACTTGGGTTTCTATTTTTATAATAGCTATTTTCAGAAAACAGCATTTCAGAAGTTGGCACTACCTCTTTGGAACTATCAATTGTTTCCAGATATTCTCTGCTGCCTCTAGCCATGGCCTCAATAGATTGCTGGCTGCCGGTCGAGATGAATGTATAAAGTTGAATTTTTTTATAGAATTTTTTTTTCATTATGAATGTTCAAAATGGCATAAGCTGGCCTATAAATAAGATAAAGAAAGAAAAGAAAAAAATATGGCACACCCTGTGATTCTGTCTATAGCTGTCTCGGCTATTCCTTGTCATTTCCTTAAAATACATGGGTGCTAACATGAAGTCCAGGAACATTTTGTATCTCCTGGCTGTCATTTCCATACTCTGAAAATGTTTGTTCAGAAATACCCCTTGGAGAGCCTGCTATTATGCCTCTCCATATTTCAATTTTTTCAAAGAAAAAATTGGTCACTGAAGGCACAGGGAGGCTTTTAAAATTACTGAAACTTATTTTTTTAGTTAATGAAAACCCAATGTAGCGATCTTTACAAAGAATTCTGCAGCTTTAAGATTGTTATTAATAATTCTTAAAAATCAAATATGC